GATTACATCGGTGCAGGCACGGCCCCCTCCTCACAATGTTACTTAGTTACGTGGTTTTCTAGGGCTCACCGGCTATTATTGGCGATTTATTCACATGTATGCTTAGATTGTGAGTCCTCTTACCAAATTACTTTAAAAGGATGGTTTTCTCTGGTCATTTGAGGTTGAGCGTGCTTTTCTGCAACTAAAACAAGCACTAATAAAAGCTCCAGTATTAGCGCTTCTAGACTTTTCACTTTCATTTGTAGTTGAAACAGATGCTTCTGGGTGTGCGATTGGTATGGTGCTAAGTCAAAATGGGCATCCTATTGCAACTCAAAGCAACTTTCCACAAGGATGCAAGCTCATTCAGCTTATGTACATGAGTTGTTTGCTATCACCTAAGCTGTGGCAAAGTTTAGACACTATCTTTTTGGTCATGCTTTTATCATCCGCACAGATCAGGAAAGTTTGAAACACTTAGATCATCAAGTCCTCCAAACACCCGAACAAGAGCTCTACCTATCCAAGCTACTGGGGTATAGGTTTACTATAGAATATCGCCCTGGTAAAACTAATCTAGCAGCGGATGCACTTTCCAAGGTGTCTTATATGGCCATTTAGGAAGTACAAGTTCCTCTATTTGATGACATTGTACAGGCTATAAAGGACTCACCTCGATTGCAATATTTATATATGAACGTCATTAATGATCCCCTGTCTTTGCCTAATTTTCGAGTGTGTGATGGCATTCTCTATTTTCAAGACTGAGTGGTGGTACCACATGAAGATTCTAATTTGATTAACCGTATTTTGCAAGAATTTCATTGCTCTATCATTGGGGGTCACATTGGGTCATTACATACTTTCCAGCGCTTAGCTTCCAATTTGTATTGGCCATCGATGCAAAAAGATACTCAACTTTTTGTCAAACAGTGTCTTACTTGTCAACGTGATAAGGCAGCTCAAACATCTGCTGCAAGGCTCCTTTATCTATTATCAATTCCTACCCAAGTGTGGGATTTTATCACCATGGATTTTATTACATCTCTTCCTTTAGTACGTCAATATTTGATTGTGATGGTGGTCATTGACAGACTTTCAAAGTACGCCCACTTCATTCCTTTAAAAGGTTCATATACAAGCCACCAAGTTGCAGAAGCTTTCCTTCACCATGTCATTCGGTTGCATGGTATGCCACGGACCATAGTTTCAGATAGGGATCGGGTGTTCACAAGCTCATTCTGGCGCTCTCTTTGTGCATTGCAAGGCATTAAACTCAATATGAGCTCTACTTATCACCCTGAAATTGACGGACAATTTGAGACTGTTAATCGTTGTCTTGAAATGTATCTCAGGTGCTATGTTCATGATTGTCCACGATGATGGTTGGAGTTTTTGCCATGGGCCGAGTATAGTTACAAAAGTCCTTTTACTCTGCTATCGGTATGATGCCTTTTAAAGCTCTTTCTGGTCGAGATCTACCCCTGTTGATCCGTGGCTATTCAAGGGCAGATACCCTACTTGATGTCCATACTCAACTACGTGATCGTGATCAGATACTGTCTCTCCTCAAATAAAATCTCAATTATGTGCAAGCTCGTATGAAAAAATTTGTAGATCGCCATCGACGAGCTGAGGAGTTTCATGAAGGTGATAAAGTTTTTGTTAAGTTACAGTCCTACTCATCAGTAGAGCTTCGCAGTCATTAAAAGTTGGGCTTTAAGTTCTTTGGTCCTTTTAAAGTCCTACGTGTTGGTCCTATTGCATATCGGTTGGACCTTCCTTCTCACGCTCGAATCCATTCCGTTTTTCATGTGTTACCTCTAAAACACTATCACGGAGCTTCGGGGGAGTCTTATCTGCCTTTGCCTCTTACCACTAGTGAAGAGGGTCCTGTTCTCGCTCCTCTCGAGGTGCTAGATACTCGCTCTGTCTGGCGAGGTAACCAGTGGATTTAGCAGGTTCGAGTTCGTTGGGATGCTGTTGACCCAATGTGAGAGGATGTCTCTACTTTTTGTAGAGATTTCTCCACTTTCAACCTTGAGGATAAGGTCGTTGCCACATATGAGGGCATTGACACGTCTCTACCAAATCAGTTGCCACCACCAGATTAGTTGCCAAGTCAGTTATATGAAGATATTTCATGTGGGCAAGGTGAAGCAAGCATCTTACGAAGGGATTGCAAGGAAGGTCACGTGAAAAGTGAGAGAGAATGCATATGTATGAGTTAGTTATATGTATCAGTGAAGGGATTCAAGAGGGGTGTGGATTATGTGATTTCAGTTATCTCTCCTTTCTATTAACCTCTCTCTCTAGTCTCTCTCTGATGTATTTCCACTTCTTGTTGTCTTTCTGTGACTGAACTTACTTCTGTCAATAATACTTGTGCTGTTTATTGCTCACCATTTCATTATTATTAGTTGTTGCTGTTGAGAACGTGACAGTTAGTAATACCAGATTAGGAGAGAATGTGCAATTTCTGTCCACTTGTTTATGATGTTGACTAAATCTAGATGTTTTTCAGGGTATTCTTTCAAATGGACAAGAGATAGCTGTGAAGAGGCTTGCAGGCCTTCTGGGCAAGGTGTACAAGAATTCAAAGATGAGGTTCTTGTTATAGCCAAGCTTCTTCAACACAGAAATTTAGTAAGATTATTAGGATTTTGCTTGGAAAAGGAAGAAACGATACTCATTTATGAATATGTGCCTGATAAGAGCCTTGATTATTTTTTATCTGGTATGGCATTTCCAATCAATAAGTTCTATGAATTTTGTTCTTATTGAAACCAAGTAATTAATGGATCAAGATCTCTGACTTATATTGTAGATCCCCATAAACAACGACAATTATCCTAGTCTAAGCGTTACAAGATTATTGAGGGCATTGCTAAAGGAGTCCTTTATCTCCACGAGGATTCTTGCCTCAAAATTATACATCGAGATCTCAAATCCAGCAATATTATATTAAATGATAAAATGAATCTAAAAATTTTTGATTTTGGTATGGCAAGAGTTGTTATAGCAGATTAAACTGAGGAAAATACTTGTACAATTGTTGGGACATAGTAGATGGAAACGCAGTGCATTGCAATGCGATTAGTGAACGGCGAAGGACCCATCACACACCCCTGTGCTTTGAAATATGGGCCTTTGTTATTCTTCAAGTTGGTCTGATTGATTTAGTCAAAGTATTGATTCAATGTTTAATGGTTAGTTTATGATCAAGTTAATCATAAATTCACAATGTATTTTCCAGTCTTTTTGGATTAACTGAACAGTCTGATCTTTTTTATTTGTTTTTTTTTAACATTGGTTTATACCTGAGTTAAAATTAGACCTTAAGTGCCCCAGACAAAATCTACACAAATACACACACACACACACTGATATTGATGAAGATTAGGCTGAAAAACGAAGGAAAACAATGAAAAAACCGCACAAAATCAGGCCGCGCCATATATTGGGATCACGACAACTTTTATAAAGTGCCAAAGAAGACAACCCTTCATCTGATAGCTGTGTGAGAATAATTTGTCTCAAGGAAAAAAAAAAAAAAAATCTTTTCCAAAGACTCCTTGAAGACCAACAAAAGCAACATCTTCAATTCTGACATTATTGCAACCTTCTGCAGACTTTTTCTGGCTTAGAAGTCTTCTTTTTTTCTGAAAATAATAGTTACTCGAATCGTAATTTTTCTTTTTGGTCTTTTGATGCTTATCTTGTAATTTAAACTTTTTTGGTGTGAATATATTTTTCTTTTTTTTTTTAAAAAAACTAAATAGTAAATGCATTAAAGTTCTACTAAAATTGTAAATTACTATTAGATAGTTGTTAATTATTGATACTTGATTGTTAACTGAACAATTAATCCCACTAATAATTGTCCAATTGTAATTGACAATTTTAGAATAATAAATTGACAACGTCAAGAAAGATATAAGACATAAAAGTAATTTTATAATTTCATGAAACTCTAATGTATTTTGCTACATTCATTTGGAATCTATATTATGGATTGTCTTTTTGGATATGATTTTGAAGTAAGCAATCCAGTTTCTTCCCCTTCTGACCACTATTGGTAGACTTTCCCAGGCCTTTAATAATGATTTCGTTCTTAAAATTGCAAATCAATTTCTAAACGTTAATTCTTGATTTCATTGCTTGCTAGATAACTTTGACTACAGTAGGAAGGTACAAGATTGAACAATATAGATGAGGGAGAATAACAAAGAGCTCTTAAAAGAATCAATTAATTTAAATTAGATTTTAAGTGTTAAATTTTAAGAATTTGCAACTTAATCTCTCAATTTTATAACTTCATTGTGATGAATTTGTAATTTGTATTTCAAATTTTAACAAAAAAATATTTTTTTTGATTCTTCAATCATATCAAAATCTAGAAAATAAATTGCAAATTCATCATAATGCAGTTGTAAAATTAAAAGATTATGTTACAAATTTTGAAATTTAATATTTGGAACCTAAATTAAATTAATTGATCATTTTGAGATTTTTTTATTATTTTCCTTGTAGATTATAGAATGTTGAAAGCACCCAAACACTTAAAAACAAGGGTGCCATTTTCTTTAATGTCTTTTAAATGATTAAATGTGATTCCAAGTCATCCTTTTCTTCTGCATTCTTTGTTCCAGCAAAAATATTAAAGTTAATGACATATACACTGTTATTAATATTAAAATTGATAGACAGTACATTGATGATTCATGCCATGTTGCTTCCCGCTATTCTGGCGAACTTGGTATTGAATTCGAAGCAATAGGCGTTTTCTATATCATTATAAATGTACAAGTAAACTGTCTTTGCTTGTCAGGGATGGTCATTGTTTAATTCTAATGTTTTTCAATTTACCTCTGATTGGAGGTTATGGTCATGGTCAACAAAACAATTCATTTCTTCTCTGAAGAGCTTAATTCCTTCGCCGTTCCAGTACAAACAAAAATTCAAACTAATTAGTAATAATTAATACTAAATAATCCAACTCAACTCTGGTAAACAGTGCATCCGCTTCCTGTTTGAATCATTCCCACCGTTCTTGATGCTGCAAGTGCAAGAAAGCCACTTTTAATGTGAAACACTGCCTCAATCATATTTCTCTATCCGTAAATCTTATCATTCAACAGATTTCCTTGAGCTGTTAACCGGTACTACTCACAAGCAGAAATGGTTAATTCTCCGATGCTATTCCTTTTTCTCTGCACTATCTCTTTCCTCTCAGGCGTTTCCTTAGCTGACCCACCATATCAAAATTGTTCAACAAGCAGTAACTACACCAAAGGAAGCTCCTTTCAGAACAACCTCAACAACATCCTGGGTTCTCTGTCTTCCAATGCTTCAATCTCCAAATCTTACAATGTCTCATATGGAAGCGATCCAGACAGAGTGCATGCCTTCTTCATGTGCCTAGATTATGTTTCAAATCAAACATGCCAAGATTGCATAGCCTCGGCAGCACAAGACATTCTTAAACACTGTCCCAAAGCAGAAGAAGCAATTGTTTGGGAAGAGCAATGCCAGCTCCGATATTCCAACAAGGACTTCCTCGGCAAAGTGGATGTCACAGGAAAAATGGGGTTTGATAATAAGCTGGATATTTCAGAACCAGAGAAGTTTGAGCCTGTGGTGAATGGGTTGTTGTATAGTCTTACTGACAAGGTATCTTTCAATGTTTCTTCTAATTTGTATGCTATTGGAGAGGCACCCTTTGAAGAGAAAACAATATATGGATTAGTTCAGTGCACCAGAGATTTATCAGCTAGTGATTGTAATGTATGCCTTAAAAGTGCGATTAGTCATCTACCTATTTGTTGCTATTCCTCAATCGGAGCTAGAGTTCTAAGTCGTAGTTGCTACTTGAGATTTGAGCTATACGAATTTTATAATGGTGCACTTGATCCGAATGATTCATCAACAAAAACTAGCAAAAGTAAGCATTTCTGTTTCAAGTAACTTCGATCAATTAGACTGCATCGAGTTATAATTCCCAATCTGTTGAAGATTGACTTCTCTTATTAAATGATCACTTATGCAGGTACAACAAGCAAGGCAGGGATGATTGCTGGAATTATAACAGCCACTGGTTTGGGAATAGTGATTTTCAGTTGCTGCCTTTACTTCTTTACAAAGAAGAGAACTCAGAAAAGTATGTAAGATCGTAAGCTGAGCTAACATAAGGTCAATTCATGTTTCTGAGTTTTTCTTTTTTTCTTTTCTTTTTTTGCTTAACTTCTTGGGTTCTCGTGTTTAGGTAAGGGTGGAGTAGACAGTCATGTGATCGATCTTCATAGCTTTGGGGAGAAAGGTCAATCAGTGTTCCAAAATCACCAGAATTTTCTTGGAAGAAATGACAAAATATCTGAGAATTTGCCTTATTTTGATCTTGAAACTCTGTGTGCTGCTACCAAAAACTTTTCCGATTCAAATAAGCTTGGTCAAGGCGGCTTTGGCTCCGTTTACAAGGTGATTGAATCTGAAGCTTAAACTCAAGAAAGATTAATCAAATTTTCTTGCATATTCATTAGAGACAAACATAAGGTCTGTGGTTTTTGTAGGGCGTATTAAGTGATGGCCAGGAAGTAGCAATCAAGAGGCTTTCAACAGGGTCTGAACAGGGCTCAGATGAATTCATAAACGAGGTTCTGCTGATACTGAAACTTCAACACAAGAATTTAGTGAGGCTTCTAGGATTTTGTTTAGATGGAGAAGAAATGCTTCTTGTTTATGAATTTTTGCCTAATGGCAGCCTTGATGCTGTCCTTTTCAGTGAGTTCTTTTCCTTCACCTTTCAAACCAATAAGATAATAGAATATTCATAGTTTTATCCACTTTAGAATGGTGCAGCATTTGATATTAGTCATTATTTGTGGACAGATACAAGGCAACAAGCACAACTAAGCTGGATTAAACGTGTTGATATAATATATGGAATAGCAAGAGGGATTCTCTATCTTCATGAAGATTCTCGACTAAAGATAATTCACAGAGATTTAAAAGCAAGTAATATATTGTTGGACTATGACATGAACCCAAAAATTTCAGACTTTGGAATGGCAAGAATATTTGCTGGAGCTGAAGGTGAAGCTAATACAGCTACCATTGTTGGTACATAGTGAGTACTTAGGTTCTAGTATAATATTTTTATATTTTGAAAATATTTTCTTGCTTGGCAACTAGTTTATGACTTTTGTACCTTCAAATTTTTAGTGGATACATGGCTCCAGAATATGCTATGGAAGGATTATATTCTATAAAATCAGACGTATTTGGTTTTGGAGTGTTATTGCTTGAAATTATTAGTGGGAGACGCAACGCAGGTTTCTATTACTCTAAATTTGCTCCTAGCCTTCTGGCATATGTAAGTATTAGAAAATAAAGTTATCCATGAGACTTTATCATTTTAAACTTTTGGGCAGAAGACCAGTTTCTCTCTCTGAAACTTATGTATGGCCATTGATTGATTAACTTGAAGAATCATTCATCATGCAGGCATGGCACCTGTGGAATGAGGGAAATGCACTGGAGTTGATGGATCCTCTACTAGCTGATTCATGCCCTGAAGATCAGTTTCTAAAATACATGCATGTTGGATTACTATGTGTTCAAGCAGATGCATATGACAGACCAACCATGTCTTCTGTTGTTTTAATGTTGAAAAGTCAATCACCAACTCTTGGTCAGCCCCAAAGGCCACCCTTCTGTGTGGGAAAAATCATTAGTAATGATCATAATGTGCCAGAAAATGAACATTGCTCAGTCAATAACTTAGCAGCTTCTGATACACTTCCCCAGTGAATAATAGATTTGAAAACTTCCAGTCTAGTTTTCCCCTTTTATTTTGTAATATTGTAGTTAGATGGTATTCAGTCAAAGGCTGGCCATTCAAGTTGTAACTGATTTACATTTTTCCGTTTAACGTATAAACTAGGCTAAATAGTTGTCGTTGTCACTGTTGACTTGTAAAAATGTATATAACTAATTTGTGGACCCACTGGTGCATAAGTTTTATTTTTATTTCTGCATCCATCAGATGGGTTTGAATTAATTGATAAAATTCTGTTGTGCACGAGGTAAATGAACAAGTGAGACAATTTTATCAGGAGGGAGAAGAAACCAGGTTGGCACTCTGGATATCTGTGACTATTGTATATATTCTCTAAACTTCTATTCAAAAAATTAATCTGTTTGAGCATTAGTCAGACTGTAGCAGTTGTTGAATTTTGATTCCAAATGACTAGTCATGCCGGAGCATATGAGCAGAACCAATACCAAAATTCTCTAAATTTGTTGATAAGTATAAAGAAAATTTCCTGCAAGGCAGAAGGATGGTAAACGGTAATTATCTTGGAAGAATCTGTGATCAAGCATCATTGTCAAAAATTTTGATTTCTGCAGTTTGACTTTAGGATGGTAAATTCTTGCAATGAATGTCATAGGCTTGCCATAGCAAAAATTTTTCGAGAAAGATCAAGTAATTCATTCTAACAAGCAAGATTCATAATGCAATGACTTTTTCCTTCAGGTTTGGGCATGCAACTACGGCTCTGAGCAGAACACAATTTCGTCTCATTTTCTCAAATCTCGAATTTGAAAGTCAATTCAATCATTCAACTATTCAATTAGTTTAATCAACATGGAGTAATCTTGGCTTCGCCGTTAGATCTAGCAAGATAGCAGCTTCCTGTCTCTGACAAAAAGTCAGCCATGAATAGTTTTCATATTACTCCATAACACATCTAAGATCAGTTTCATTGTTAATTGTGTAGATTCTTTGATGTTGATAACGTCAAGTATTTTTCTTTATAAAAATGCCACTTGCTTTACAATCATCATCACTAATGTAATGTTGCCGCCCTTTGATTGAGACATAATGCATGGATAGAATCAAAATCATTGACCAGTGATAAGCTTGGAAGAACCCAACAATTGTTTTTTTTTTTTAATTAGAATTAGAATAATAACGTCTACCGGATTATTTCTGATCTAAGCAGCTGTAACTTCCTGCACAAAGATTAATTATGAAAGAATTTTAAATAAGGACTAGGGAAGTGAGTTAATTACCAGTTGCTTCCAAAAAATTTTAAAATTTCAGTACAGTTCAGAGAGATAAAAGTGAAAATAATTTTAATTGTGAAAAAATTAAAGTACCCTTCACTTGTCATGCAGAATCATTGGTTGTTAATTTTCTTATTTCATTTATTAATTTATCAATATTACTTGTAAATTACATCCATTTGTCTGACAAGTAGTAACATTAATTGTTAATTTGTTAACTTTACTTATTTGTAAATTACAAGACCTGTTAGTAATTTACAATTGATATTAATAAATTAACAAGTAAATTTAGTAATTTAACAATTGATGTTGTTGCTTATGATTGAATAACTGATGTCAAGTCTTATATAATTATTAACATGTTAAGTCATGTAATTTACAACTCATATTAGTAGTTAGTAAATTAATAATTGAAATAAGAAAATTAATAACTAGTTATTTTGCTACTTTGGTATTTTCATAGTTAAAATTATTTTCATTTTTATCCCCTTAACTAAGCTGAAGTTTTAGAATTTTTTAAGATCCATTGATAATTAAATCACATCTCTTGTCTTTATTTGATATTCTCCCATTAATTATTTCCATCTACTTCTAGTCTTCTATCCCAGATGAGAAATTTCCCAACTTTTTCTGACCCTCATATAAAATCACCATGTCTTGCCTAACCTAACCTTCTTTATACATTTATTCTGTATTTTGGATAAAAATGTATAGATTTTCAGCCATGTTTTTCTTCATCATTCCCATCTTATTTTTTCACATCGTCTCTGGTTCAGATCCTCTCTTCACTTGGTGTCCACCCGAATTCCCAGATTACACACTAAACTCCACATTTCATAACAACCTTGAGTTCTCCTAGAGTCACTTTCTTCCAACATTTCAGTTTCAGGTTTCTATAACACATCCATTGGAGAAGACCCTGTTAAGGTCTATGGACTGGCACTATGCAGAGGAGACATAAACTTAAACTCCACAATCTGTAAGGACTGTGTTGAGAAAGCAAGCCAAGATATACTCAACAATTGCAGGAGTCAAGATGCTATGATATGGTATGAGTTTTGTCAAGTAAGATACTCCTTTCAGATGTTCTTTTCAAGAATGGTTTATACTGGGAAGTATCCGGATGAAAATAATCAAGCAAAGAATGTGTCGGATCCTGCTCGATTCAGCCAGGTTATGATGTACTTAATGAATAACCTGTCCCGCGAGGCTGCATCAGTTTCTTCCAAGAACATGTTTGCTTCCGGGAAAATTGAATTTTCCCGGAAAATTACAATTTATGGCCAAGTACAATGCACAAGAGATATCTCTCAAACATTATGCTATAACTGTTTGATTTCTGCACTAGGAGACCTTGGAGCTTGTTGCTCATCCCGTCAAGGTGGGATAGTTCTTAGTCGAACATGCAATGTGAGGTTTGAATTGTCTCAGTTCTTCAATACTTCTTCTCAGTACCTCTTGGTTTACCCAACTTCTAAAGGTAATGTTTCTGGCTCTGGTTAGTTTAATTGTATTTCCGCATAAGAAGGCATATCAATGTTATCATTAGCAGATTCTTGCCATTCATGAGCAGGAGGAAAATGGAAAACATGGATGCTTTCGCTGATTATATGTGCATCAGTGTTCATATTAGCAGTTTTTATTGGTTCCTGCACTGTCTATTTCCATAAAAGGCAAGAGGAAGACGGAGGTGAATTTTTTCTATAATTTTTCATCTGTTGACTATGAGAAAATAGTGCAAGAATTACCAACCTCAGTTCTTTGGCTTTTTTTCTTTTTTTGGAAATTTCTTTTTCTTTGAAAACAAAATGAAATAGATGATGGAAAAAGCGAAATGATGCTACTGCAACAATTAGCGACCCCTAAGAGTGTAACAATTACACAAGATGGAGAATTAATTAGCTCAAAAGAACTTGTGTTCATGACTTTAGCAACAATTAAGGTTGCCACTGATGACTTTTCTGAATCAAACAAGTTAGGACAAGGAGGTTTTGGTGCTGTGTACAAGGTAAGATGGTCTCTGAATTTCATTTCAGCCTAAGTATTACCAAATAAGTCATTAACAAGTGATAGTTTTATTTTTTGGGAATTTCAGGGTGTTCTTCCGGATGGAAATGAAGTAGCAGTTAAAAGGTTATCAAGGAAGTCTTGGCAAGGCACAGAGGAATTCAAAAATGAGGTCATTCTGATTGCAAAACTTCAGCATAAGAATCTTGTGAAGCTGTTGGGATGTGGCTTGGAAGGAGAAGAGAAGTTTCTCATATATGAATACATGTCCAATCAAAGCCTTGACAAATTTATCTTTGGTTTGTTGCCTTTCCCCCCGTTTTTGAATAAGCTTTATGTTTGTCTCTGTGTATGTCACTGATTGTAGGTTTTGGTGTTTTTATAACTTCAGAATCAGAGAAGCGTTTACAGCTTGATTGGAACACATGCTATGGGATTATCATGGGTATAGCTAGAGCATTACTTTATCTTCACGAAGAGTCAAGACTTAGAATCATTCATAGAGACTTGAAACCAAATAACGTATTGCTTGACCATGATATGGTTGCAAAGATCTCAGATTTTGGAATGGCAAGAATTTTTTGTGAAAATCAAAGTACTGCTAATACCAAAAGAGTTGTGGGAACATAGTAAGTTATCTCTAATTTTAACTCACATGATTTAGTAGGTTTTAGTTTTAGTCCCAATAACAAGTCATGGAAATAATTGAGTGAATGTTTCGAACAATGATCAATTCTATTGTTGAAAGAAAGTTTTATTGATGAATTGAAGAATTTCATAGCCTTTTAAGATCATTAACAAATTTAAGCTAATATTTGGTCCATTGTCAACAATAACTTTTAAGAGAACAATCACTTGATTACTTTCATTAAAATTTAAGAAAATAGCACAAGATGTTTAAGTGGAAACCAATAAACCATAAATGAGTCGGATGTATATTTAAAGTCAAAAAATTAAATATTCTGGGTCAAGTTATATTATATGCAATATACTTGATTTTATTATATTCCATATTGTTTATGATAATGTCTATAATGTTCAAAATAGTGGATACATGGCTCCGAATATGCAATGGGGGGATTGTTTTCAGTGAAATCTGATATCTTCAGTTTTGGTGTCATTCTTTTTGAGATCATCAATGGAAAGAGAAATAGTGGCTTTTTTACAACTGAACTTGCCCCTACCCTGCTAGCATATGTACGTTTCATCAATCACTTGATATTCTACTCTTATTCCTCTTAATCAACCCAAAAAATTTCAAGAAACGTAATTTTGAATATTACAGGCTTGGAGGTTATGGAATGAAGGAAAAGAAATAGACTTTGTAGATCCTCATCTATTGGAAACTTGTCTTGACTCAGAAGTTTTAAGGTGCATGCACATAGGATTGTTATGTGTACAGGAAGATCCAGAAGACAGACCCACCATGTCAGATGTTATGGTTATGTTAGGAAGTGAATCAATGTCTCTTCCACGACCTAAACAACCTGCATTTCCTTTGGGTAGATCAATTCAAGTTGATCCATCATTGATGACAAATTCCTCTGTGAATCATATAATGCTCTCTAGTGTTCAGCCTAGATGATTTCTCACCTTGTGGCAATGTAAAGGTTTCATTAAGCATGCATGATGTTAGATTATTATTAGTGTTTGTTTGATATATGATTAACACTTATATTACACCTGACATAACATGGAATATACATATTTTGTTCAGCGGCCGTGAATGAATCTTGTTACTTGTCTAGTTTATTATCTGAGCTGCTCAAGTTTCAATTCAACAAAAATTTGATGCAGAAGAGTTCAACTTGTGGCATATCAAATTATGAGTCTTACCAAATGACCAAATGAAAACAGAGGAGTGCAGTGTAATTATGGGCTGTCTCCTCAATTGTACCTCACGAGCTCCACCATAGCACATTTTAAAAGTAGTGGGCGTCAACACATAAAATTTCAGACTCCTACATAAATGAAAGAAGGATGCATTTAAATTTAAGGAGCATGGGACCCTGATTGCGAGTGGGAATGCGAGTTTGCGAAAGCTGACATTCATGCATGACTTGTTGGTTCTCCCGTACGCCTACTCCTCCCTGTTTGAGGGTCTCTAAGGCTCTGTAACGTTCACGGGTTCTGGGCACTCGTGTCACTGACTCAAGTCGTACTCCAGAGATGACAATGAGTTTCACTTCTTTGGCTTTGCCTCCGCTTTCTTTCCTTTCTCGTCTCATCGTCCTCACCGTGGCTGTGCTCTTGCCTGAGCAAGGGCTCCTCCAATTCGAATACTACAACTGCTACTATGAAAGAGGAAACTACACAAGTGCAAGTGCCTACCACACCAACCTCGATGCCCTTCTTCGCAATTTCGCTTCCTCCACCAAAATTGACTATGGCTTCTACTCTTCCTCGCAAGGCCAAACCCCTGACAGAGTCTACGCACTCGGACTGTGCAGAGGAGATGTGGAGCCGAGTCCTTGTCGGAGATGTCTCAGAAATGCCACAATCCTTCTCCCAACGAAATGTCCAAATCAGAAGCAGGCATTTGGAAACAATAACGGATGCATGCTGTGATACTCAGACGACTCAATATTTGGGTTTTATTTGAGACCTAACAGATTTGCTGACGGAGGTTCTTCCAAAGTGTATGTTGAAGACGTGAACTACTTCAATGAAACGATGAATTGTCTGTTGCAAAATCGAACAAGAAAAGGTGACTCTCATCGGAAGTTCGCAGCATCAATTGCACAAGGCTTGTATCGAACCCCTATATATGGCCTTGTTCAGTGCACGCCTGATTTGTCCGAGTGAGATTGCAGAAACTGCTTGGAGGATACCAACGTGTTGCTCATTTATCTTTACAAGAACCAAAATGGTGCAGCGCTTAACAATTGGAACTGCAATGTTAGATATGAGCAGTTCCTCTTCTATGATCAAGCAGTTGCCAATTCACTGCAGCTACAGCCATCTCCATCTCCATCTGCACCAGGTATCTTTACTTACTCAAAAAACAAACAAAAAACTTCGTCAGTTAATAACATAAGTGACATGGTTGAATGCTGTTTTTTAATCAGGACAAAGACGAGGTAGTCGATCACAAACTATCGTCATGATTATTGTTCCCATTATTGGTTTAGTGACACTTTTTTGCTTACTGGGTTACTACCTGCTCAAGAGAAAGTCAAGGAAAAGCAGTCAAGTAGTTCCTAGAGAAAATTGTAATCTATCTTAGACGTTCACTTTTACTCTTCAAAGTATGTTTATTTTAATTATAATATTTATTTTGATATTCATGAAATCGGTTCAGTTGGGGAAGAAAACTCCAGCTTGACTGCCTTGCAACTTAGCTTGAATACCATTGAAGCTGCAACAAATAACTTGTCTGAACAGAACAGAATAGGAAAAGGTGGATTTGGAGAAGTTTACAAGGTTTAATCTACTAAACTGTACTGTATATAAATTTTATGTGGCCTGATTATTCAATTATGTTTCTTTAGGGCATTCTTTATGATGGGCAAGAAATTACTGTAAAGAGACTCTCAAGATATTCTATTCAAGGAAAATTAGAATTCAAGAATAAAATTTTATTGACTGCCAAACTTAGTGACTTAACTAGAATTTTTCTTGAAAGAACATGAAAAAATTCTTATTTATGAATATGTCCCAAACAAGAGCGTTGATTTCTTTTTGGTTGAAGATTCCATTGCATGCTTTGTATGGATTTATTTCTCGAGGGCTTATTATTATTTTTTATTTTCTCAATTGTTTGATTTCCTTTTGTAGATCTTGAGAAACAAAGATCACTAAGTTGTTTTGAGCGTTTTAAATTTATAAGAGGAGCTGTATAAGGACTTCCTTACTTGCATAAACATTCTATTTTTAAAGTTATTTATCGCAATCTTAAATTGAGTAATATTTTATTACATAATAAGATAAATTCAAAAATATTAGATTTTGACATAGCAAAAATGATTGCTACAAATAAAGACCATGGAAGCACAAATAGAATTGTCAAGACATAATAAGTCTTAAATTCTTGTCTCGTTAATGCCCACTGGTTATCTTAAGTAATAAGTTGCATCAGAAACAAAAGGAGATTTTGTGTGTTTTGTATGTGAAACATGGCTTCATCTGTCCTATCCTATGCATTACCTTCATGTGCAAATGCATCTTAGCATGTTTTTATATTATGCTAACTTTCTGTTTTGTTTTGTTTTGGTTTTTTTTTTTTTTTGTAGTAGTAGTTATGGCCCTTGAATATATAATGTATGAACAATTATTTTTGAAAAATTTGATGTCTTTAGTTTTAGAGTTATAGTTTTAAAAGTGCTTTGTAGCAAGAGAAACGTTAGTTTTGATGAATCATATCTCTTAAATGTAAATATTAAATCTAAGCTAATTATTTTTCCTATAATATGTCGTCATATTTATCTAATCCCAATTAGCACGCTAAGTACGGCTAAAAACTGAAAATTATGAATTTGATTATCTAATATTTGAGACATTATTTCGGGTCTGGAATCAGTGGAATGAGGGTACATCGTTACAAGTATTGGACCCTTTTCTAAGGGAATCTTGTTGTGATACTGAAGCAATCAATTGTGTGCAGATCAGGTTATTGTGTGTCCAATGAAATCCAGATGATAGGCCAATAATGACTCAAATTGTTTCTTATCTTACTAATGTTTTCATTGAATTACCATCTTCAAGAGAACCTTCATTCTTCATGCATTCTAAAATAACATGGTCTCGTGATATTTTTTGTAATTTAAGGAATTTAAAATGTATTAATTTTCTTGTTGGATACTTATTTATAATTTTTGAATCTTTCTTTTTAATTTATTAGATTAACTAATGGTCAAAATTAATATTTTGTTGACATTAAAAGTAACAATGCACTGTTTTACTTATTAAATTATTAGGAGAAATTTTTAAAGTCAGTAACAAAACTTGTCATTTGATAAATAATTACTTGCTAAATTATCAATTGAGATTTGTCATTCCTAGTAATAAAAATAAATAAATATTTATAAAAATCAGTGCATATTAAATTTTTTAACAAGCCCCATTAGTAATTTAACAAGTAATCATTCATAAAATGACAAGTAAACATTAAGCTTAACATTGACATAAAAATTCAAAACGAAGTTAACTATATATATAGTGATTTGCATTATATAAGTGAAAGAAATTATTAGCTCAGTAGCTAACTATCCTATTGGTGGCCAAAAGGATGTGGGTTTAAACCCCTTAGCTACTTAAAAAAAAAAATTGTCTCTCTTGCAAGTCTAGCCACCAATGCCAGAGCTTTGGTGGATGTGGTTTGACCACTAGTGCTGGAGCTCTGGCAATCAACGGTAGTGGGGAGATTTTGTTTTAAAAATAAGGGGTATTTTTATTTTTTCACATCAAAATTTAATTAACATTTTAGTGTCATGGTCCTTCTTTGTAAATAAAATGTTCCATGGGTATTTGACTGCGATTTTCCCTTGAAACTAATCCCCCGGACCCAGAGGACCTAGATGAATTTCTTCCTGGAATATGCAAAGCTTGGAGTTGGAAAGTAATTTTTTTTTAATTTTTTGTTTCGAGCAAACCTTCGAAAGTAGAGGTTAGGAAAGATATGAATGCCGCACACCTCACGTCTTCGTGAATCATGACAACGTCTAATGCCCGTCATTTTTTCTTTGCATCTGCACGTGCTGCATCTTTCCTTTCTCTTTAGAAAAGTACCGCACGTACGGTGACGTGTTGAAAGAGTTAAAGAGTGAGAAGAGTTTATACAAATCTTAAAAATGATATCAGTTGATTAAATGAGTGGAGATATTAGTTCACAGTTCAACTTAAGCTGTAATCACAATTAAATCTAAATGGTAATCAGATTAATTATAAATAAATTAATATATTTATAATTTATCTTAATTTGTTCATATTAGTTGTAGTTAGGGTTGTGCAAAAATCCTTTAATCTAGTTCGATCCAGTCCAATTTGAGACAAATTCGATCCTATTTAATTCAAATAAAAATTAATCTTTTAGGACAAAAAAATAAAAAAGACCAAACTTGTTCTTCAAGTTGAACTAGACAAGAGACCGAGCACCTGTACCACTTGGCCCGATCTTACAAATTTATTTAATATATAATAATAATTAGTATTTTTTTTGTGTTTTATATACTTGTGAAGTCATGAATATTGAGCAACATTCTAACATTGAGCAACCTCAATTTTCTTCTTTTATTGGTAAAATTTGTTGTTAACTTGGTATAATGAACTTTAAATATGTTAAAGGTTGTTTAATATTGTTGAAAGTTGTTTAATTTGAATAATTTGTGTTGTAATTGAAATACTTTTTATTCTTGTCGGAGATTATTTTGGATTTATAATGTTTATTGTTTGTGATACATTTTATATGACTATAATTAATTTTATTATGTTAATTGAATTTATTATGTAAAATAAATTACTACTTTTCATAAATAAAAAGAAAAAAAGTCAAAGTGAAATACTAGATAAGATTGGAATCAATCTCTTAATCATACTGAACTAGTCTAGTTCTATTCTGGTTCAGATTATATTAAATTAGATCGAATATGAGTTGTTTACTTTAATTTTTTTTATAAAAAGATTAGATTTTGAATTAGGTTGAATTGCTCTCGGGTCACTCCTTTATGTAGCAATAGTTGCAGTGTCCGCGTCCACCTCATTAATTTTTTAAAAAAAAAAAGCAAACATCAAAAGGAAAGAGCAAAAAAGGCGCATTAGGGAATGTGCTTGGTGGTGGAAATCAAAAAGCCGACTTGAAAGGCATGTGGGGGTCTTGGTCTTTGCGGCAGTGGGAAGGAAGAGCAATTTCAGTTGTGCGTTCTCATTCACTCACTCGTCTTCTTTGTAGCTCTGCATCCTGCCGACACTTCTCGTTCCAGCATGTCAATGGCAATTTGATCAATGTTGTTCTTGGTATATCTCTTCTACTTTTCTTTTATTCCATTGTTAACCATAAATAATAAGTCTCCCTCCAACATATTTGTTTTTTTTTT